TTAATCATTAATCAAATGGACGTTAAGACTGCATTTTTTAATGTGATTTGAACTGAAACAAGCTCCTAAACGTAGCATGAGAAGTTCATAGAGTTATACTAAATTATGGATTTAAAATTAATACACATGACAAGTGTATATATAGCAAAAAAGATAACAACGAGCATGTGATACTTTGTTTATATGTAGATGACATATTAATATTTGGGACAAATTTAAAATTTGTTAATAATGTGAAAAGTTACTTGTCAAAGAATTTTGAAATGAAAGATTTGGGAGAAGTTTATATAATTTTGGGAATGAAACTAAGGAAAACATCTAAAAGAATTTCACTAAATCAATCTAATGCACTCCATATTGTTCAAATGTACACTAGAAAAAGAATTTAGGTGAACCAGTTTTGCAATTTGAGTATTCTCAAATTATTGGATCTTTATTCTACATAGCAAATAGAACAAGACCTGATATAGCCTTTGCTATTGGGAGACTTAGTAGATATACTAACAAATTAACAATCCCCGTAAAGAACATTGGAACGCTCTGGAGAGAGTGCTTAAATATCTCCAAAGTACATTAGATTATTCTATAAACTATAAAACCTTCCAATTGTTATTGAAGGATATATAAATGCAAACTGAATAACTGATAATGTAGATATTAAGTCTACAACGGGATATATATTTATGCTAGGTGGTGTGGCCATCTCTTGGGGTTCAAAAAAATAAACGATTATCTCTGGGAGTACTTTAGAGTCAGAGTTAATTGCATCAGATACAACATGTACTAATGCTGAGTGGCTTAGAGATTTATTATTAGATATACAATTAATAAGTAAGTCAATTCCAGTTATTTCAATACATTGTGATTGTAAAGCAGTAATATAACTTGTAAGTCAATCTCATTCAAATAAGAAGATGAACTTAACCAAAGCTTGAAGATGAACTTCAAGCAAGATTTAAGTAAGCTAAGGCCTTACTTAAGAGAAATGTGATTTCTCTCAATTTCGTGAGATCTGAAAAGAATTTATGAGATAACTTAACCAACGCTTTACCCAAAAAGGGTGTTAATGAATCATCGAGGGGGATGGGCTTAAACCCGTAAAGGAGTCACCTCCAGGAGTAACCCAACCTTTGTGATTGGAGATCTCATGAAGAAGATTCAATGTGGTAGGAATAACCCGCACTGCATAACTCATAATAGCACTATGTTATTTGTGGTCATCCCCATGGTGATAGTACTATGATTGTGATGTTAGGGAGGGTTTACCCTAAATAAGTATCGAGGCGCGAATTCTCGCGAAGTGTGGATTACACGCATCCTTGGAGGCCTTATCTAAGTAAGAATTGTCATGAGGCCGTGATTATGGGATTGGGCTATTCCTTAAAAACTCTTACTAGAATCAAGATAAGAGCGCATGACCATTAACAACGCTACCCGCTATGAACTGAGCCAAAATTGATACTCTGTGTGGAGCAATTGAAATTTGGTTAAAGGGATCTAATTCAAGGCTTAATCCATTATGGCTCCCTCAATTGGAAATTATTATTACTAAGTGAGATTCAAATTCAAAAGATACCTGCATCTATTACACAGTATAACATTGCCACTATATATGTAAAGTTTTAAAACTTATGGGAGATTGTTGGAAATAAATTATAGAACTTTCAAAATTGAAAATTAAAAATTCAGTTTTCATTTTAATTTCCAAGTTTTCGGTTATAATTTTTTTTATTTTTTCAGTTTCTATTTTAATTTTTGATTCAATGCAAAAATTTAATCCCATTATTATATTTGTAACTTATGTTGAATATGATTAATTTTTATTATGAGATGGTTGATTTTTTCTGCTAACAAAAGGGGTAGATTTCACATTCTTTGACACACACAAAATAAAAAATACAAAATATTCTCTAGTCTTTTAATACTACTCTACTTTTATACTACACTCTAGTCATTTTATCTTCTTCTATCAATTTTGACAATTGATAAGGGCTTGTTCTTTTTCTCTTTGTGGTCGTGCCTATAGAAGGAGAATTGATTGTGTGAGCTATAAGTGTTTTATCTTGGAGCAATGCAGTGTCAAAAATACCTGCACGAAGGGAAGGTCACACGATTTTTGGACAACGGATATCGCGACTCTCTTAGGCCAACTTTCCTAACTCTATTCTCATATTTATTTTATTTGATTCATGCTTATAATTGATAGTTCAATTCACAAATTATGTTAATTTTACAATAGAGACATGGAACTTTGCCTCTATAACCACACTTCTCCGAGGTGCAATGCTTCGTCCCTAGAACATGGGACTTCACATCTATAACCAGGTTTCTACTAAGTGAAAGGCTTCATCTTTGAAACACAGGACTTCACCTCTACAACTCACTTCTCCTAAGTGAAATGATTGATCTTTGATATATGGGATTCCATCTTTGTAGCTATATATATATATATATATATAGGACCTATCCATGTGCGAAATGGGATTTAGCATCGACGGCAACACATTATCCATGCAAGAAGGACTCGTCCCAAATTGGAACTTCGCAGTTATACTTACATCTATAAACTTCACTTTGTTACCCATGCTAAGCACACATGCCTCAACAAAAATAAAAAATCATGCTTTATATAAATAATTAAATATACATTCGTGGACTTAGGGGACTAACTTGTTACTTCTTGCCATAACAATGCAACTATTCACACTTTGCCCATTGACATCTCGAAATGAGTACTACTACAACACAATGCCACGCCTCGTAGATTACAAAAAACAACATCATAACTTCTCCAATCACGATTATCAATCATTGAACATCAATTACCACATAACCTTAGTTAAGTTGAACTTCAGAGTTAGTTCGTAAGACCTCTCTTCTCATATATTATCTATCACACAAGCATGAGGGATTATTGTTATGCCTCGTCCTAGGAGGCTAACAGTATAGAAGTTAGTTAGAAAATAGCAAGAATTTATCGAAGACCAGCAATCCGTCACTTTACTTGACCTAATTGAGTTCATCAACAAATGTAGTTGAAGTGACCAAAGCGCCCCAATTCAAGTAATATATAGAGGTCAAACCTCCATACCGGAGGCGAGGTGCCACGATTTGTTGCAACACATTTCCAAAGCGATGAGCCTTAATCCCACAAGGTATTTTCCCTTCAATCATTCAAGAGATTTTTCGTACGATTAAATGATGTGACATCTATATAGCAGATACCTCTTAATCAACTTTTTAGATGGCAAGCCCAGGGAATAAGGTGACGACTTTTCAGAATCATTTAATGTCATCCTTGACCTAGGACAACAAAGGTGAAACCAATGAGGTCGACAACGATCTTAAGATGAGGTCATGTATTATCCATCTAATAGTAACTGCATGTTTTCCTCTACAACAAAAACACACCTTTGGTGTAATTCAAAGGAAATGCAAAATTACAATTCCAATAGCAACTTCGTTTAGTAGTATCCTCTCTTCAAACGGCTATCATACCATTCTTGTGGTTATGTTTATTGTCCATTCAATATATAAATACACTATAGTAGACTGAATTGTTTGTCGAAGTGCCCACAACCACGTCCTTCACTATCGAAGGAGGTCAAGTGCACCTAACATATGTCTAAATTTTTAGGAACTTGATTCGTGAATGAGAGTGAAGCCAAAATCTATTAACTACGTTGTTCAATCGAAACTGAGGTCAACACTATCACAAAAATATTTGTGTTCATAAAATAGAGCGAGTTTGCACTTTTTTTTCCTTGTTATGTTAAATGTGTATAATGAAAATCTCTTTCTATAAAAATCAATTGGTTAGAGTTGAAAGGATAGGTTTCAAATCTCAATGCTACCATTTTGGAATCGAACCGAGCAAACACCTTTCTCACATGATCCATCAATATGGAAACTATTTGATAAATTAGCTTTTTGATATAACTGAATTCAAGTACTATTGAACTGAAATATAACAATCTACATGTTATCAACAACTTTCGACTTTCATTAATAACATAACTCACTACGTATATTTCTTTGCGCAGGTTTATATTTGTAATAAATGAAAAACATCACTCTTTTTATAGTATCAATGGTTTGGTGATATAAATCAAATAATAATGTGATTCAAAAGTTCCAACAACAATGTCTTGAAGTTGTACTGACAACAAGACACCACTTTTATGTATTGTGATTAGTGACTTCAAACATAAAGATTTGATACACAAAAAGGACAAGGCAAAATGCAAATTTAGGTCCCGTTTATTTCACAATTTTGTAAAAATGAAAATAAAAAATAGAGTCGTTACAGATTTCACACAAGAGATGGAAATTAAAATATCGTGACTTGATGTGATGAATAACTGTCATATTTTTAATTTTAATGGAAAAAGAATGAAAAACCAACAGGGACTTATATTTTAAAAAAATAATAATAAAAAAAAATAACCACTGAAGCAACAAATTTACAATTGTGGTGAAAGAATGAAAAAAGCCGATATATATACATATAGGAATGATTTCTTAAGTATCAGTGACATGGTACATCATTTAATTGGTAAATCATTAAATACATGGAATCTACCGATTAACTTATTCACCAATTAAAATGGTTTGTCATGTTAGTGGTACTCAATATAAGCCAAGTACCCGTACTTAAAAGATCGTACACACACACATATACACACACACACACGAATTTGATTTTTTAAACACCGATACTTAGTTTATACTAAGCATTAAACTTAGGTGACATACTACAATAGGTGGTGTGATTAATTTTAAAACTTATCATTATCTTTCCTCATCTATTGTAATGTGTCACATTACCAATGTTTAGTATAAATTAAGCATCGATATTTAGGAGATTATAAATATGTGTGTGCGTGTGTGTATATGTGTGTGTCTATATATATATATATATATATATATATATAAAGAAAGAAAGAATCGAAGATTTATATGTACTTATCGGCAAGCTGTGGTCCCTCTTTCCACTCCACAAAGCGCTTATCATAAATCGTTACTGTTAAAAGTCATCATTCGTAACGCCCTTCAAGATCCGTCTAAAATGACGGCCGCTTTAACGGAATCCGTCCATTTATTTCCCTTAACTCTCTCTCTCTCCCCCTCTCGCTCGCTTCTCTGTTGTATCGTATTGGGGAGAATTGCTTGCGAAGATCTTCACAGGTTTATTTTGCAGATTTCATAGCCCCACCCTTACAGAAAACTTATTCTTTTTGAGATCCTTTTATTTTGATTGTAGCATTAATTTTTTTGCTTTTCAGTGTTTGTATTTTTCCTTTCTTTCTTTTTAGCCCTTAATTGCTTGTACTGAATTTTTCTTTCTTGTTCCAATTTGGATCGACAAAAGTTGATTTATATCACTGCCCACCTTGTAAACAAAAAACTTATCAAAACCCATATCAATTTTGAGTTTGAATCCTGAGTATATTTTTGGTATGGTAGTTTTATAGGGTTTCTCGTAAAGGAATTGTTGATTTTTGGGGGAATTCCAATAGGGTATCAAAACCATATGAATTTGAGTTTCAAGCTTGACTATTTTTATGGTATGGCTGTTTTGTAGTTTTTCCCTGTAGAGGGATTGTTGATTTTGGTAGGGATAATAGGTTATTGGAATTATATATATCGAATTGTGATAATTATTGGATGATAAGGATTTGGATATGGGAGAAGATTTGTTGACAGGTTTAAGCATGGACAATTATCATCCATCTACGTTCTTGTCCATGGATTCAAATGTTAGCTCTCATGACGAATCCAATCGGGAGATGAATAGGCAAGTTGTTCTTCCAGGGCCACCGGATATTAATCTCCCTTTATCAGTAGAGCGGAGTCCTCCTCCCCAGCAGTTATGGAACCATGATTCTTTTGATATGCTGGATGTTGGCCTTGGACACCAAGTGAACGAATCTGATAAGCTTTTTGATTTGCCTAAAATTGGGCGAAAATGTGCCAAGAGATTGGATAGTGTTTGGGGTGCTTGGTTCTTCTTTAATTTCTACTTCAAGCCCGTTTTGAAGGAGAAATCAAAGTGCAATGTGGTGAGGGATAGTAATGGGGTTTCGGGTTTCGATAAATCTGATCTCCAACTTGATATCTTTCTTGTGCAGCATGATATGGAGAATATGTATATGTGGGTTTTCAAAGAGAGACCAGAGAATGCACTTGGGAAGATGCAATTGAGAAGCTATATGAACGGGCACTCAAGACAAGGGGAACGCACATTTCCTTTTAGTGCCGATAAGGGTTTTGTGCGGTCTCACAAAATGCAGCGTAAACACTACCGTGGGTTATCTAACCCGCAATGTGTTCATGGGATTGAGTTGGTGCCATCACCCAATCTTACTGGTCTTGAGGAGGAGGATCAGAAGAAGTGGATTGAATTGACTGGTAGAGATTTAAGTTTTTGTGTTCCACCTGAAGCAAGAGACTTTAGCTCATGGAGGAACCTCCCTAACACAGAATTTGAGCTTGAAAGGCCACTTCCCGCTCCAAAGTGCAATGCACAACCCCCTGCAAAGAAACTGCTAAATGGGTCAGGTTTGAATTTGTCTACTCACCATGTAAATGGCAATGGAATTGACATATCAAACAAGAAGAGGAAAGACCTCTTCTCACATGGAAATGATGAAGATTGTTGCTTGAGTAATGATCTCAATACAGATTGCCATCAAAATGCTGAGCTTCATCCTATTGAACCTTCTTGGATGAGTGAGTTTTCAGGGGTGATGAGGAATGTCTATGGTCCTGTTACAGGGGCTAAAACAATTTATGAGGATGAAGAAGGATACTTGATACTAATTACCTTGCCTTTTGCTGATCCAGAAAGGGTGAAAGTCCATTGGTGGAACAATCTCACACATGGAGTGCTTAAGATATCATCTGTGAGCACAGCCTGCATGCCCTTTGTTCAAAGAAATGATAGAACTTTCAAACTTACCGATCCAGCTCCAGAGCACTGCCCGCCCGGAGAATTCAAAAGGGAAATCCCACTTCCCACTAGGATTCCTGATGATGCCAAGCTAGAAGCATATTTTGACAAGAGTGGAACAATTCTTGAGGTTAAAGTGCCTAAACATCGTGTTGGACCAGAGGAGCACGAGGTGCCTGTTTGCCTTCGCCCTCCAAACGAGTTCGCTCTGTCTTGAAGGAGTGTTGATCAATTCAAAGAATTGAATTATCTGGGAATATAAATGCAGAGTACATGGGCTATTTTTTCTGCATTTGGATAGCTATATTATGGGATAGGTTTTGAACTTTGATCCCAAATTGATAGGGACAAAGGTAAGAATCTTGCGGCCTGATTTCTAGGTTTAATGGATGAGTAATTTTAGAATCAGCTTCGTGCCTTACTATCTTATTGGTTATTATCAGGGTATTGGGAAGGATTTTTATTTATTGTTTATGAAATGTTCTGTGACACATCTTATTTTGTGATTCATCGGGATATAAAATTGACATTTGTGTAATTGGATATAACATTTATGAGTAGCTTCTTCATTTTTTATTGTAGAACCTAGAATATGGTACTTATTAGTAGATCTAAATCCCAGATGTAGAAGCTCTTCCCTAACTTGTTCCGGATGCCTGTAAGGCACCACCGCAGATAGAAAGACTAGTTCTTCGGGTTTAAAACAAGCCACCAGTTCCAATTCGAGGGGTCAGATTATTAAAAAATGTATTTTTGTTGCAGCAATAAGCAACTTTGAATTGTTGGTGGAGGATCCAAAAAATAGAGCTTTTCCGACGGTTGTAAAATTGAGTGTAAATTGGTATCTCCAAAATCACTTTTGCATTCTTATTTACATCTATGTGGATCTAAATTCGAATTTTGCTAAGATGGAAATATCTAAATTCACTTTTTAGCTCTTGTGGATGTTTTAAAAAAAAAAAAAAAAAAAAAGATGTAAATTACATATTTTTTTATATTTTATGTCAGAAAATACAATTTGCGTTTCTTTTGCATCTCTCTATTGGAGAGGTTTTTGGCCACTTTGAAGATCTAAATGAAATTTAGATCTATTTACGCAAGATTAGAGATGTTGTTAGTTGGTTTTTAACTTTTCAATATGAAGAACCACGTGTTAGGTATGCATATATAAAACTTAATTTTAATCCACACATTAATACGCTTATGGAAATCGTACTTTTAATATTGATTGGCATATAATAGAAGAAAAATGTTTTGCATTCCATTTGTAATTTAAGTATGCGAGTTGCTTTGTAATTTAAAATCTTCAAAATTTTCCCTCTTGAATTTCAATTTCGAGTACTATCAATATTGCAAAATAGTTTCCCTTGCAAGGAAATCTAAATCTTAAATTCTAAGAAATATGTGAGTTAACAATTTTCAGTATGGAAGTATGCAAGACAGAACTCAGTCAACATACGAACAAATCTTTGAATTGAAGTTATAAAACCTTGCAAAGTATCCGTTCCTGTAGATATCAAGGCATTTCTATTCTCAGCTACATTTTCGAGATATTATCAAATAAAATTGAACAGTACAATAAATAATATTTTAGCTTCTTTGCTCCGAAGGACTACAGAGACACCATGCTTCTGCTCTTACCTTTGCATCCACTTCATCTTCAGTAAGCTAGTGTTTAAGATGAGGAGAACATGGAGATTCTACTCCTTATTTTCTTTGTATCTATCATATTAGTAGCATCTCAACTGCATTACGCCATTCCTTCCAACGTTCAAGAAACAGAGAGTTACTCAGCTGTGCATCTGATCATTAAGCTAATCTTCTCATCAGACAGCCCCCAAACAAAAAAAAAAGGAGGAAAGAAAGAGAGAGTTTGTAGCTGCCACATGACAAATGAAAACTACGTCTTGACTTGAATCCCTTTTTTCTTGCACAAATTACAAGTGTAACTTGATGTGTTTTGTTCTCGCATGGAGTACTAGGTTGGTTGTCAACGAGACCATGCTTAAATTATCACACTATACTGCTGGTGTTTTATGCAAAGGGGCTTTCCAACTCACGCAATAAAGATCTGATCCATAAAAGTTCCACAACTATGGTCCCATTTGACATGATTTTTACTTTTACTTTTGCTTCTTATAGAAGAGTTTTTGAAAGAAGATACCATAATATTTGTTTAGAAACAAATTTTTAAAAAAAATTTCTAATTCGAAAGTGTTTTTAGAGGAAGTCACATTGAATTAACTTTCACTAAAAGCTTTTCTAGCTAGCAAAAACAATTTCATAAAATTAGTCAAATGGATTCAAAAACAACTTTTGAATCTCTAAAGTTTTTGACTTCAAAAGTCTTGTCAAATGGATCCTACATTTGCCAAGCAATGGTACTCCGCTTCGGTCCTAAAGGGTCAAAAAAACAACTTTTGAGCCTCAAAATGACTTTTCAAAAGTCATGTCAAACGAGCCTTACATTTGCCAAGCACTTCAATACTTTATCTTGATACTTTGAGTGCAACGATACTATATTCCTTCCAAAACAAATGCAATAGCTAGATGTTGATTGAGATTTGAGGCCCAATCTGCATCACGATAGCTGTATAAATCTAGATTGGAGACTTTCTTTGATGCAGGCCATAAGCTGAAGTTTCTCTCGAGTATCGTAGTATCCTTTTCACCACATGCCAATGTTCTTCGAAGGGATTTTACATAAACTGGCAGAGTATGCTAGCTCTGGTCGAGTGATGGTCACATACTGGAGAACAATACTACTGAGCATTGGAAGTAGGGTCACTTGCTGAACTATAGTGTTTAGAACCAGCAACCATTGGAGTACTCATAGGTCTGGCACAGGATATTTTAGCTCTTTCTAGTAAACTAGTGGGGCGAACATGTTGCATTCGAAATTCAAAGTCGTAGTACTTTATAATATTTTTGAAAAGAGATGTATTTAAAGTTTTATGTCTTATAAAAAAAATTATGGACACTCTAGTAACACATTAAATCTATTAAAACTATGGATCATTTATGTGATATTAGATTTTTTTGATATTTCAATTAAAAATTAAAGAAAGACGAAAATGTGGGTTTTATATGCAAAGCACCTTTTTTTAAACTTATACATCGGCCCCAAATATTTTGGGCCCAAGATGGCCTCTCGAGGTTTAAAAGAAAAAAACTAAATTGAATCGTATCTTCCAATCTAGCTGATGATTATTATCATCGTAAACTTGAGAAAAAAAAATTAAGGAATGAAAATTCTTGTTTTCAAAAGTATCATGATGACAACTTTTTGGTGAAACAACCAAAAAATTGACTTTTTACTATAGAAAATTGTATCATCAAAAGTGAAATTTCTTGTAATCATCATTATAGGCAATGCCACTACATACCTATATTGCTTTTGCTAGTAACAAATAAGAATTTGTGCAACATGCAAATTAATTGAACACAGTATGGCATATAATGAGTAATAAATAGCCTGATCTAGTAAATCTCTACCTGCATTCTGGCAAAAGAATTTTAACTCAGCATCAAACATCAATAGGATATTTCATCAACTTCAATGAAACACATTTTAGTCACATAAATGCTCCGTCGGTACAAGATTTCAACACTATTATGCTTGTTGAGCACATAGAATCAAAATTTACCCAAAATCAAAGAATTAATAGTGTTTGTGGATTTGGTAACGACGGCGACCGATTGTGGGCCACAAAGGGTTGCAGAGTTTTGGTTTTAGGGTTAGGGTAGGGGTGAGGATTGGGGATAGGGTAAGGATGGAAGATAATGATTTTTTATTTTTATTTTATTTTTAAATTTATTTAATATAAGAAAAATGCAAACTTACCATTTTACCCTTTTTACTTTGGTTAAAGAAAAAAAAGGTAGGTTAATTAAAGAGTTCAGTATTGGTTCTTGTAACTGACTCATCCAACATCCCCTCAAATTCAAACTGGATTGATCTTCGACTTTGAATTTGTTTGTCAAAGCTAGTAATCGTGTATTGGAAACAGACGTCTGTTGTATGATTTATAGCTGCCACATGACAAATGAAAACTAGGCCTTGACTTAAAGCACTTTCTCTTGCACAAGTAGGGGCGAATCCAAAATTTGGAGTGATCACGAGCCGATTGATCGTTGGTCACAATAATATATTAAAATTAAATATAACAAGTTATATTATTTTTCCAAAAATGAACATATATTTTCACAATTCTACTAAATTGGGCAAGTGACATAGCGGCCAAGCATTGTATGCTTAAAATTACAATCAGTGGTTCGAATCTTATTAATTGCATTAAGCCACTAAATTTGAACATAAATTATTTTGTTAGATTTACTATCACAATTCAAAAAATTCAATAATTGCCAAGGCTTCAATAATCCCAGAGTAGGGTAATAGGTTCAAATCCCCACTCTCGTATTAGTTTTAGTTAAAATTGTTGAATTAAAAATATAGCACTATAAAGTGATTTGAAGGATATTCGAACCCAAGGTGTCCAATTTGAATGTGAAAGCTTCAACCAATTGATACTTAGGAGAAACTTGTTAATCCATTGAATTATGAACTATATAATATAAAACTTTCATCTTTCGTCAACAACAAAAAAAGTGCTTCCAGCAGATCCAATACGGACGGCCTCAGGGGCTCGCTAGGTGCTTGATCCGCTCTACGCACAAGATAAAAGTGTAACTTGATGTATTTTATTCTCGCAAGAAGAACAGAGTTGGTTGTCAACAAGACCGTGCTTAAATTATCACACCATACCATTGGTGTTTTATGCAAAAGGACTTTCCAACACACGCAATGCAGATCTAATCCATGTAAGTTCCACAACTACAGCCCCGTTGGTCATGTTTTTTTACTTTTACTTTGCTTCCTGTAGAAGAGCTTTTGAAGGAAGATACCGTAATTTTTGTTTACAAATAAATTTTTAAAAGAATTTTCTAATTCGAAAGTCTTTTTAGAGAAAATCAAATTGAATTAGCTTTCTCTAAAAAAATTTCTAACTAGCAAAAGCGATTTCATATAATCAGTCAAATAACTTTTGAATCTCAAAAGGTTTTTACTTAAAAAGTCTTGTCAAACGAACCCTACATTTGCCAAGCAATGGTACTCCACTTCGGTCCTAAAGGGTCAAAAACAACTTTTGAATATCAAAACGACTTTTCAAAAGTCATGTCAAATGGGCCCTGCATTTGCCAAGCACTTGGGTACCATATCTTGATACTTGAGAGTGCCACGATACTAGATTTCTTCCAAAACAAATGCAATAGCTATTTGTTGATAGGGATTTGAGGCATAATCTGCATCACAGTAGCTGTATAAATCTAGATTGGAGACTTTCTCAGATGCAGGCCATAAGCTGAAGTTTTTCTCGAGTATTGTAGTATCCTTTTCACCACAAGCCAATGTTCTTCAAAGGGATTTTACATGAACTGGCAGAGTATGCTAGCTCTGGTCGAGTGATGGTCACATAATGGAGTGTTGCGTGCCCACACAAGTGAACAATACTACTGAACATTGGAAATAGAGTCACTTGCTGAACTATATTGTTTAGAACCAGCAACCATTGGAGTACTCATTGGTCTGGCACAAGACATTTTAGCTCTTTCTAGTAAACTAGTGGGGCGAACATGCGTTGCACGTTAATTGGATAAAACCAAACCCAGGAATTCATAAGATTAATTGCCTTATTTACCTACATTCTCCTCCTCAAAAATATGGAAAGAAAAAAAATCACATAAGATGGTTCCCTATAGTTAAAGAAAGCGATAACAGCGAGGAATCCTACAAACAGAAAAGTTCACTGCACATATATGATCGTGACTTCTTGCATGGGAAACCAATGATTGTACAACGAAGTTCCCAGTGTGATGCGATGACATCTTAAATAAAGAATCCCTGAAAACTTTTGTCAATAATTCATCGTACAAGGTATCAGGAGCCACTTCCAAGATGAACTGCAAAGAGGTTCACAAAGTTAAGAGCACAGAAGCCATCAATACAGTGTGTAAAGAAGAGTATCACCAAATAAATGGAACAAAATCTTGCTAATTTATGAGTGTACAAAATTGTTATTTGCAATACAAAATGGTAAATACTTTGACCAATGAAAAGAGCAAAGGTCAGAGTGACACTTTGTTTCATTCCTTCTACATAATCACACATATTTGCTGGTTTTATGATGCTAATGCATGCCATAGCTGTGTTTTCATTGTTGTCAAACGGGGGCTCAATGTTTGAACAGGTAAATATCTACTCTAAATTTGTTCAAAACTTGTTCCCAAGTTACGTACAAATTACACTTTCATTTTGGTGCGTCAATTCCAACTTTGCTTTCATCAACTGAACTCAGGGAAGAAAAAAATAATAATAATAATAATAAAAATAAAAATAAAAAAAGCATCAGAGTATATAATAATATTGTACAAGTTAAAGGAATCTTTAAATCAACATCGGAAAGAAATGATTGTTCAAAACAGTACTATCAATGAAATAAATGTAGCAAGGGAGGAAATCAGAAAAAATTTGATCTCGACTCCATTAAATGACTGTGCATTTTCTTCCACTAAACTTAGAATTTTTTTTACTTCACTCGCCTTTATAAAGTTCCACCCGAGCCACTTTTAACACTGAAACCAAGGAGGACTGGAATTACATGGAGTAACTCCTGTTCATGTCCAGCTAATAATTTCAAAGCAGTCTGTCATTGAATAAATTTAACTCATCATCATTTAGACTACAGCAGGGGGCCAAAGTATCACAATTAACATAACATCAGAACCATTTTTTCTGTTTATTTTATATAAGAAAGCAGCCTTCAACATGGCCAGCTTATGACTGTCGTATCAGAAACATGTATCATTAAATATAGAAAAACTTCTAGATCCACCTACTTTAGAGATTAAAGATGTGCATGTGAAACTGGTTGACTATATAAGTAGAAATTTGTCCTGAACAAACACATATGCAAAAGCTTGCGGTCTTTATTTCCAAGAACTACAAGTGAAGATACTAAATCAGTATGTGAAGTTTAAAAGGCAGAAAACATGCCTGCAGAACCAAACTGCTGTATTGATTTACTACAAAAGTTGCTATGTCTACCCTGGAAGGGTTTAACATCTCTGATACGAGAAATTTTAATTGATCGGGAAATTTCTGATAATGTTGCAATTTGTGACCATCCAGCGGAGAAGACCTCAAATTCAAACGTTCTGCCAGCAGAACTGATGGTTTTGAGCTATGGAACTCTGACAAGCCTAAGGTTTCTCCTTCACAAAGGTACAGAACGCTCCACATAACATGAGATCCATAACAGTTGCAAATTATATCAACAGAATTTACCACGATTTCCTGGTATTACTCCAGAAAGCATAGGTAGAAAAAATAGAAGCAAAACAACTTCTCAGACACCATTTGGCATACATAATGCATTCCTTCACTACCAAAGACACAGTGCTAAAACAGATCAACTGAATATTGTAAATATTATCAATATGGATTCAAATCCTAATGCAAAATGCAACTTTATTTCACTATTTGCACAGAAAGGATGGAAGCACAAAAAAGGGAAATAAAATTGCATCGTCATTATTACTGGCAATGGATATTTTTCAACAGAACTTGCATAAAGAAATTGATAAAAAAGGGAAAAGAAAAGGTAAACCGAGGGTATCAAGTTACCAAGGTTCCGCAGTGAACATCCAAATTGTTATAAAGCAGAGCAATCTTTTCATATTCCGAAGTTGTTAAAAATCATCCAGAATTGTTCTGACCAATACATCTCTTGATCATAAGCATGAGCCTGGATTAATGCATCAGTGAGACAAAAATAAAAATAGCAAAGAATAAGCATAGTTATTACTATCATGACTTCTTCCCTTTGCTTTCTCTTAATAAACTTATCGTTCAAATACAATCCGTTAATGCGCAAAAACTAAGTTTGAAGATCAGGCATCTCGGCCTGTGCTTCAGCTAAATTTACTCATTCTAGATGCTTAGCAAGCACATAGCAAGTTGTCTAATACACTAAGTAGCTTCCACCCTGCAATTTTTTTCCACTTCTTCCAATACAACTTCCGGGTGTGATAACTTTTGATTCTATTGCATTATGGCCAATAACTTATTCATCAACAAGCATAATCAAACAAGAAAGACAAAAGCAACAAATCTATCTACCCATAAGAATGTGAAACATAAAAGTATCTACTTTAAAATGAAAGAATGGGAAGATAGTAGCAATGAATTCGATAGAGAAAACAAGGAAGTGAACTTACTGCCACTGGTGAGTAAATAGAACATGCTGAAATGTTTATGACCGAAGTGCGTTCGGGTGTAGCCTTGCACAAATGCTAAGCTCAAAGCAAGATAATCATTTCAACTAAACAGCCAGAGTAAGATCCATGTTACTCCTGAATGGTTTGTTTCTCTCTGAAGTTGATAAACCTGACTGCATATCATTTGATATAAGTTGCTCTATTTTATAGGCTTCATTTGTCATCCCTGCCTTTCTGAGGTAAGATCTATGATGCACCGACATGGACACGTGTGTCAAATACGATACGTGTCGAATACGTCAACTTGTGATTTTTCAAAAAATTACCGACACGATACGCCGTCGACACGTTCATTAAATTTTTTAAAATTCTTCATTTATATAGTCTAACCTAGTTAGAGTGTCCATACTACATAGGGCAAGATACTAAAGAGGTTGTGGCAATACTATCTGGGACGCAACCCAGTGTCAACATCTTATCAAAAATGTTTGTGGCTTCAGACATTCTTCCTCTCATACAATGCCCCAGAATAAGATGGTGAATGTCAGCTTATCAAGGCTGCATCCTTTCACCTCCATTTCTGCGACAATAGCATTTGCCTCGTCTACATTACCAGCCTTAGAAAATCCATCAATTACAGGATTGTATATAAATGGTTGGGGAATGATATCTTCCCTCCATTGCATCTGCCTTAATAAATCACAAGCTTCATTTAGTCTATTCTCCTTGCACAAAGCATTAATGAGAACAGAGAATGTAAATAAATTTGGAGACACTTTCCTCTCATTCATTTCATCCCACAGCTTCAAGCCTTTCTCTAAACCACCGGCTGACAATGACCATCAATGAGAGAGTTGAAGGAGAAAACATCAGGATGATAGCCACCATCAACCATCCTCTCATATATCTCTGATGCTCAAACCATTTCTCCCTTTTTGCCAAAACCATCAATAAGAACATTGAAAGTAATTAAGTGCGGCCTAATCCCACGATTACTCATCTCATCAAAAAGATCAGCAGCCTCCTCCATCTTACCCAATTTGCAGTTCCAGAAATAATTGATGTATATATCACAATGTCTGGATGAAATTCACCTTGTGATTGAACTTCTCTCAATAGCTTCTGTGCTCTATCCACATTACCAACCCTACAGAGCCCATTAATGAGTGTATTGTCTTTAATAAGATCTGGCAAACAATCAAAACTCTTCATAATATCAAAAAACTCAAAAGCCTTATCTACCTTTGCCACTTTGCACAATCCCCTCATAATTATATTAAACTACATGTATCTGGGCAGAACCCTCGTAATCTCAAAATATGCTCTTTGAAAAAAACTAAGTGCCTCATCAACCTGATTTCTTTTACATTACAAGCTCAATAAATTGTTGCATACAAAAGAACTAACAAACTCCTCTTTCTGAATATATAACTCAGCTAGTGAAATCAAAATCCTTGGCAGTCCTAAATCTGCCGGCATTCACAAAGGACAAAATTGTATAATTTAAAACGGGGCTATTGGGGAAAAATCCATCTGTTTTCATGTATTCTTATGACAAATTAGCCAAATCGTGCAGGCCCACCTGGCAGAGTGACCTCAGAAGCAACTCAAAAGTAGGAATCGAATGAATAAGATTTAAATGAAGCCTTGTAGATTGAAAGAAGCTAAATGCCAATCTGGGGTTATTAGCATACCATTACATTTTGAATAACGCTGAAAGCTATAAAAGGGTTCAAATTTTTGCGGAAATAATCCGAACTAAAAACAGAGAACGTTGTGAATCGCTTCACGGCTTATTGATTTCCTATCAACATACAAAAAAAAATAATAATGATAATGATAGGTTTTTGCTGAACCATTTCTTTTATTCGGATAATGGAATCAAATCTATTGTGGGGTTGAAAATGCTGTTTCAGGTTTATGTTTTAAGAGGATTAGAATTTGAAAGAGTTTGTGGAGTGTTTTAGGGTTGACACGTTCCTGGACGGAACGCTTCGGGTCGGCCTGATTCGATGACGTCTCTACGCTAATCCCAGCGTTCTCCAACACCGCCATGATCAAGACCTCGCCCAAAATCAACGAAAAATCAAAAAGTAAGAAAACCCAGTTTCCAAAAATAATCCAGCAAAAAAAATAAAATATGGGTCTTGATTAATCGATACCTTTGATATTCATTATTGCAATCCCCTTGTCGAGCACGTTTGGCAGAGGGGGCTGGCCGCTTAGAGATAGGCTGCAGTTTGAATTGAGAAGGAGAGGAGTCTGATTCGGGTTCAGAATCCGACCCATCTTCCTCTTCGTTTCTTGGTAGTTATTTAGGTTGTGGGTTTTGGGTTTTTGGCTCTTTTCCTTCAACTTCTCCTTCTTCAGAGGATCCTCCATCATCCTCTTCTTTTCGTTCTGGTTCTTCTTCAGAAGATTCTTCTTCCTCATCTTTATCTTCTGAGTAGGGTTCATTTTTTTATTCTTCTTCTTCTTCGTTGGAGGTTTGAGTGTGAGAACGGGCTGGTGTAAATTCTGTTGCAAAAAGCAACAGGGTCCTCCGCGCGCGGTGTGCGGATTGCTCAGACCAAACCAAGATTTTATTTCGTTCTCTCCTTTTGTTCCTTCTGTTGGTATTCACCAAAACTATAGTCCCAACAAGCAAAGGATTTGACTTTTGTTGACATTGTTTGTGTAGTTCCATGTACTTAAGTCAGTTGATCATCATTAGCCCCATTTTTGTGAAGAATTTTTAAATAGTTTATTGATAAAAAATGTGTGGTTAAAAAATAAGAAAATATTTTTGATTTGTATATAATATTATTTTATTAAAGAATGTGTGATTGAAATGATATCAAATCACTATTGAATAATATATTTTGATTAAAAAATAGGGCTCAAACAAGGGCTTAGTTTCACATCAAAAACCGGTTGCATAAAATAAAAATCAAATGTAACTTGCTGGTTTTTGTGTTTAGTAGTGAAGTGAAAGGGATATGTTGATGATGATGTAAATAGACTCCAACACAACAAATTCAATCAATAAAACAAAACAAATATTTTTCCCATATAAATAAAGAAAACACAGACTTGATTTCAAGATCGAAAGACTCAGAATAACTTTCTTTCAAAGATCAACCTATAATTTATCATTGAAAGAAAGGCTAGGTCAATTATTTCCTATATAAAGGCTAGGTCTCATCTCCTCTCAAGATATTTTATTGGCTTGTCCCGTTGATAAAAAAAGAAAAAGGTTGAACCCCAACCTTGAGGGCCATAAATCCTAAAATCGAATCTACATACACCCGTTCCCTCTCCTGCCCATGGTTGAAACTTGGTCTCCTGTGCGACCTTCTTCCCGTCGCCTCACTGCAATCACCTTTTGTCGGCGACTGTGCATCGGACTCCCGTCCCCGTGTTGTGCATTTTTTCGTTCTACTCTTTATCAAAGATGGAGAGATTTATGTATTGAATTTGGATAATTAGCAAAAAAAAACATCCCTATCGTTTGTACTCATTGCGAAAATGGTCCCTATCGTTTTGAACCTACTATTTACACCCTCATTTCAAACCTTTCTTGCAAAATTGGTCATTTCCGTCATATTCCGTAAAATCCTTCCGTTAAATATGTGTAATTTGATGTAAAAGGTCCCTATTGTTTGCTATAATTGCGCAAATAGTCTAATTTATCATCATCTTTAAATAAATAAATAGAAAAAATAAATAATATATAAAAATGGTATCTAGAGTTTCTAATATTTTTTAAAAATTACAAACAAATCTCACATAAACAAATTTAAAACATTCTAATAAAAAAATATTTTATAGTCCCAAAAAACCCACCTACGCCTACCCGTACGCCTATCCTCCATCACCAAAATAATTAAAAAGAGAATTAAAAGTATTAAAAATATATATTTGATGAGGAATAAACACCATTTTGTTTTTTTCTATTTTTAATTCTTTTTTTACTTTTATTATACTGTTAATTATCTCTTTAATTAATTTTGTGGTTGTGGTGGAGTGTAGGGGATGGGCGTAGGGTATGTGGGTTAATTGGGAAGATGAAATGTTTGTGTTTATTAGAATGTTTCAATTATTTTCATGAGACTCGTTTGTACTTTTAAAAAAAAAATTAGAAGCTTTAGATACAATTTGTTTATATTATTTCTATTTTCTATTTGGTTATTTAAATATAATTAGTCATTTTGTAATGTTATAATGAAAAAAAATGGCCGCAAAGACCTTTTAGCAAAGAAATGTCGATTTGAATATTCAAATGTCAAAATTGAAATGATAGAAACTATTTACGTAATTACAGCAAACAATAGGGACCTTTTACATCAAATTTCACATATTTAACGGATGGATTTAACAGAATATGACGGAAAGGACCAATCCTGCAATAAATATTTGAAATAAGGGTGTAAATAGCAGGTTCAAAACGATAGGGACCATTTTTGCAATGAATACAAACGATAGAGACGTTTTTTGCTAATTACCCATTGAATTTAAAAACTCCTGTTGAATACAATTCATAATTGCGGTCGCCAGTTTGATGAATTCGTTCATATGGATTCAGTTTCCAATTGTGAATAAATTCCATTTGTTTAACTATTTGCGGCTACCATATGAAATTGGATAAGTGTTGAATCCAATTTTTTAATCAAGGAAGCCATGTGACAATATTTGTTAAAACCCAGTAGAGCAATTGTGAAATTGATTTTGATGGCCTGCAATGCTTTTTTCTTTTCTTTTTTTCTTTTTGGGAGGCAGTTGAATTTGAGTGCCATTTTGTGGGTTTTTAGTATGGGCGAGCTGAAACCCTTTTATTGAAAAAAAGGTTTTTTTGGAAACGGGCAGAGTCAATTGGAGACGGGGGCCTTTCTTTCAATTTATGAGTTTAGAGGCCCCTGTATGCAATTAAGAGAATAGGGTCACATTGCAATTTCTAAAATAAGGACTTGCCATGCAATTTTAAATAGCAAAGGACCTGTTTTTTTTTAATTTTTAAATATAAGTGTAAGATATAATTTTTCCAGTGGACTTTTAATTTGAACCTTTAAAGATTTGACCCTAAGATTTCAATTTTGACCCAAATTAAAGTTTTATTTGAACTCGACCCGATTAAAATCATATATTGAATAAATAATAAAATTAATTGACGACTTTTGCATTATTTCATTAAAATGTTATGTATTGATATTATTTATGCATTAAATTTCATTTTGAAATTTTGTTGCCAATTTCGTCTCTCAATATTAATCACATATGGATTTCTTGTCTTTCATCAATTAATGATTATGATTTGTTACGTGATTATTGTTCTGTGATTGAATTTTTCATAGACTTTGAGACGATTCTTATTTTCCACTGAGGGAGAAATATTTTGAAATAAAAATGGGTGGTAGCTGCCAAAGTAGCACACTCATTATTATTTATTCGGTTTTCTCTACAATAAAAATACATATATTTTTGTCCAACAATTTTTTATTTATTGTATATAATATCTTGCCCAAAGATGTTATTATATGTAATATTTTTGAAAAATGACATAAGGTGATTAACGAGCTTACCTTGGTCTAGAAATTTTCTTCTGCCCAAAGGTGTTGGTATTTCAAAAACCAATGTAATTTTATTAACTGGCTACATGATGTGTTTTAAGAGTACCTTATAGCATGTTGTATTGTCGACCCAAAGGTGACTTTATGATGTTGTGCCTAGGTTTTTACCGTAATAAATTCATATGTTTCGGTTTAAATTACGGATTATCTAATTAATAGCTCATATTAATTAGTTGGTTATTATATTATCCATTTGATTGCATGTATTACGTTTGGATAATATTGAGTGTGAAATTTTATATTTCCACGGTTTATAATGTCTCATCTCTTTCGAATCGATTGTCTGCTATTGAAACTTTGATTGAGAATAACTATGTGAGATGGAAACGAGACGTAGAAATAACACTTGGTCCTTTGGGCTTGGATTTTGCAATGGAGAAAAAGGTTGAAAAACTCACAGATAAGAATACCGTTTAATATGTAGACGAGCATGAAAAGTGGGAAAGGGCTAACAAACTCTGTTTGAAAATCATTAAGCGATCGATATCTGATTCCATTCTAGGTGTCATCCCTGATAATGAAAATGCCAAAAGTTTTATGGATGCCATAGGAGAAAAATTTGTTAAGGCTAATAAAACCGAAACTGGGGATCTGATGGATAAATTGATGAGCATAAGATATGATGGCACAAGTGGTGTTAGGGAGCATGTCATGAAAATGATAAATATATTATCTAAGCTAAAGGCTCTTGACATTCTCATTACGGAGCCTTTCCTGGTCTATCATGTTTTGAATAGCCTTCCTAACAAGTTTAATCAACTTAAGGTTGCTTACAATGCTCAACGGGATAAATGGAATTTGAATGATCTCATAGCAGTGTGTGCCCAAGAAGAGTATAGGATGCGCCGTGAAACTGTTGAAACTGTGCAATTAGCTTTTCAGCCATCATAGAATAAGGGACCTTCTCATAATCATAAACCTAAATTTCGTAAGTGTAATAAGTCCCACCGAAATCAGTAGAATAAAAATTTTAGTGGTCCCAAAGGAGTGATAAAGAAAAATGATCAATGCAAGTTCTGTAAAAAGAAGGGTCACTGGCAGAAAGGCCGTTTTAAGTTCAAGACTTGGTTGGAAAAGAATAAGAGTTCTCCAGGTATTCCATTGTCCTTAGTTTGTTTTAAGTTTTCTTTAATAGATATGCCTTTGAATTCTTGGTGGTTAGACTCGGAAGCTAGTATTCATATTGCGAATTCCTTGCGGGGTTTCATAAGCAAACGGAGGCCAAGTAAGAATGAAGTAAGCTTGAGCGTTACAAATGGATTTCAAGTGAAGGTTGAATTCACAGAAGTAGTGAAGTTAACTTTAGAGTCTGATTTTTATCTTGTTTTGGAAAATACGATTTATGTACCGCAGATGAGACGAGATTTAATTTCTATACCGAAACTTGATGCTTGTAGTTTTACATTTAATTTTGGTAATGGAATAGTTAAGTTATTTAATGATTCTCGTTTGATTGGGAATGACATTTTATGTGATGGTTTATATAAATTATCTTTGACTTCTTTTGGTGATGTCTCATGTGTTACCAATGTATCAAAGAAAATGACTTTAATTCGTGAATCATCCTCTAAGTTGTGGCATAAGCGTTTGGGTCATATTTTTAAGGACAGAATGGAAATATTAATAAAAGATGAGATACTTCCCTCCTTAAACTTCTCCGATTTTGACACATGGATAGATTGTATAAGAGGAAAGTTAACTAAGTCTACGAGAAAGGGTTCGACTTGGAGTAATGGAATTTTGGACTTAATTCACACTGATATCAGTGTACCTTTGCCTTCCACTATATGTGGGAATAAATATTTCATAACTTTCATTGATGATTTCTCACGATATGGATATGTTTACTTGATTAACGATAAATCACATGCACTTGAGAAATTCAAAATTTTCAAAATGGAAATAGAGAAACAATGTGGAAAAAGTATCGAAGTTGTAAGGTCTGACCGTGATGGTGAGTACTATGGGAAATATGACGAGTCTGGTTAAAATATGGGTGATTTTACAAAGTTTTACAAGAGTGTGGAATAGTGCCCCAATACACCATGCCAGGAACACCTCAGCAGAATGA